ATAATACATTAATATACTATTTAAAGGAGGTACTAAAACTACAAACCTACTTTTTCTAAGTACCAAATCTAACTCACAACTGGTGACCCTCTCTGAGAGCCCAGCCCCAGGTGGGTTGGATTGGCCACCAGCTCAAACAATCCTCACCAGAATCCAACCAAGCATCACCCCAGGGAAACAATTCTCCAAACACATTCCACATGGGAAAACAAGGAGCAGAAATAGAAATTGTTTTCTCTTTCTTCCCTCTGTGCTCCTCTGTGAAAATCCTGAAAGACAGAAGAATGTCCCTGCAACATTCATGCACCTCTCTGCAGAGAAAAAAAACTTCTTTGGGCTCCTTTTCTTTAGAGGAAAGCAATGAACTGAGGAGAAACTTCAATAAGTTCATACTTTGGGTATGCACCTGGGTTTGCATCTTGGCAAAAAACAGATATTATTGAGCATAAGGATGCATTTATCTGGCTTAAAGCTGGAAATTTCAGCACTCCTAAGTGTGGTGCTTTTAAAATGAAGCAGTGGCGTTCAGGAATAGATCCTAGATTGGCACAAACTCACAGAACACAGGGAAAATGAAGTGTTTAAAGTAATTTAAGTCTTAAAATGTTGGCTGGTAGCTACTGTTCTCTCTTTAGATATTAAAATTTATTAAAATATAATGCAGCCAGAGGTTGAAATGTATTTTTATGATTTTATACCCACATACAAAGCTTTCAATTTTTCCATTTTTTTAGCTTTTACCAAAGCAGTTTTTTTTCTGGCCTGAAATGGATCTATTGCGTTCTGCTTTGCCCAGAAGCACTTGGAGAACAAAACCAAATTAATTTATCTTCTCCATAATTTTTTTTCCTTTGCAAGACTGCAAAAAAGCTGACACACAGGAGTGACCTACTTTAATATTGATGCTTCACCTCCTCCCCTCTCCCCTCCTTGCCCTTTGCTCTGGGCAGCTGTAGAATTCCTGGAATTCCAGGGCTGGGATGGGGATGAATATTTTCGGAAGGCTTTGTGGGTGCCCCTTGGAAACACAGGGTGAGGAATGGCCAACTCCAAGTTTACAGCTTCAACAATAAGTTTTTTATATTGTTTGGTTTATTTTATTATTGTTTCAGTTTGCCCCTTTTTTTGTGAGGTTTTGTTTTTATTCTGTTAGTTTGGTTTTTTGGGATTTTTGGGAGGTTCTTTTTGGGTTTTGGGTTTTTTTTTTAGTTTTTTTTTGTGGATTTGCTTTGCCAAGGAAAGAAAAAAGCAAAACAAAAAACCCAAACAGAAAAGGAGAAAAGTAAAGCCTTGAGCTGCACATCTGCCACAGAATAGGTTTCTTTGTGACTTCACTTTTTATTGGGCTCAAAGAGAATTTTGAGCAACTCTCTGAGGCACAGGGTGTGACCCTCAGGCTGTCCCATGCAGGGCTAAGAGTTGGATTTGGGATTTTTGTGGGTCCCTTCCAGCTCAGGATATTCTGTGAAGAATTAACCTGTTGCCAAAGCACTGTTCTGAGGTTTTTACCATGCAAAGTGAGCAGAATTCATTGTACTCCCATTGCTCCTTTTGGAAACCAATAACATTTTAGTTGTGTATCACCAACATTTTTCCATCTGAGATCTGTCAGAACCTGGGTGAGGCTCCTAAAATTATACCCAGGGAGGTGCCCTGGGGTGGGATATTCCCATTTGAGGTGCCTGGGAATTTCTGCAACACTGCTGTGAGCCTTCCTCTGTGCCAGCTTTGCTGGGGGATCAATACCTTATTTTATATATATATATATATAATAGAGATGTGAGGGCTTGGATTGGCTTATTTTCTGATTTATAAGCATGTGGGAAAACTGAGAAGGCAAGAACTGAAGAAGGCAAGAACTTCAACACTGGATGGAGGATGGCACTGCCAGCTCTGTGTGGATCCCACAGGAGCCAGGGTTGGCAGGATGAGGTAAAAATAATCTCCTTGTGGCAAAGGGTGATGTGTTGTGGAGGAAAGTAAATTCTCCTAGCTAATCACAGGCTGGGGATGTATCAGAGAGAGAACCCTCTGTTTGAATTATTTTTCTAGGAAGCTTAGCTGGAAATGCAAACACTTGTTCCACAGCAATATTAAACCCTCAATTCAAATGTAAAAAAAAAAAAAAAAAAGGTAGTTCATGTGGAAACATCGAGTTCAGACAGCTCAGATTTGGCTCCTCAGAGTTTGTAGTTGCTTTCTTGACCTTAATATGGCCATGCAGTGATCTGTAGGCCAATTCCAGAAGGAATTATTTAGTCTGGGCTGTGTCCTGCCTGTCTCCCCTTCCTCTGAAGAAAGAGGATGCTGTGGAAGTGACAGCCAGAAAATACATAGGCCAGAGCTGTCTTGCAACTAAAGAAAAATGACTGCTTTAGGAAAAAAATACAAGTGAAATCATGTCATAGCCAGGTTGGTAAACCTCAGCACAGGATTTATCATCTGGCCAGTGACAGAGGTAGAAATTGCAGTAAATTGGTTCATTGCACCTGGTGCAGAAGTCCAGAGAGGAATTAAAAACTAAAAAAGCCACCAGCGAGCTCATCACACTCCAGTACATCAAAAAAGGATGGGTTGGGCATGGCTTTAATGAAATCAGTTACAGGTTTGTGGTGTTGCCAGCAGGGCTGGCACAAGGCAAGTGCAGCACAAGCTGCTCCTCCCAGATGTGTTCAGCTGCTGAACTCTGTGTGGTTGCACCCTTCCTTTAAATCCACTGTATCTCACCAATAAATCAGTGCTGGAGCTTGGTGAGAAGTGGGAACTGCAAAATCAACTGTGCTGTCAGCTCTGCTCCTGCTGGAAAATAAAACTTCCGGCACCTCATGTACATGAAAAAAATGTGGAATATGAATGTACACTTCTGTTGGGGGATTAAGTCCTGGAAAAAAAGAGGAACATTAAAGGATAGGCCAACTTTGTATTTATTTTAAAAGTGCATTATCAAGGAAGCCTGTTCTTAATAACCATCAAGGGATTCAGTCTTATGTCTGTTCTTTTAACAGGTTAAACCTTGCCACCTGAGAGACTCAGACACAGAGTTCTTGTGAGACAACCAGAATTACTGAATTCAGGAGACTGAAGATGCTGCTGCTGCTGTGGGAGCAGCTGTTCCTGGTGTCATTTGTTGGCTGCCTTGCAGGTAACAATAATGTCTAATTTCTTTTTTAGAGCTGTGCCTGAGTTCCCAGATTCAAGGTTTCAGCTGCACTTGAGGAACAGAACCCAGAGGCTTTGAAATGCACAAGTTATGCAGAGCTTAGAAACCAAGCATGCAACAGATGTGTTAAATAATGCAAAATATTAAGAGTGAATGAAAAGAGCCTTTGCTACCAAGGGATGTGCTTTTTAAGCAAGCAGAAGATACTTGGATGCAATAAGGATGCTGTTGGTAGCAGTGCATGGTGGCTGTGCTGATTGAAGAGCTGCAATATGTGTTTGTCTTTACCTGGGCACTCCAGATTCTTGCTGTGGCTGATTGCTGCAGCTTTTCTCAAAACTCTGTTTTGGAGCAGGGTTTATTCCTGAGGAGCAGCCCTGGGTTGTTGCTGAGNTAACATTTTAGTTGTGTATCACCAACATTTTTCCATCTGAGATCTGTCAGAACCTGGGTGAGGCTCCTAAAATTATACCCAGGGAGGTGCCCTGGGGTGGGATATTCCCATTTGAGGTGCCTGGGAATTTCTGCAACACTGCTGTGAGCCTTCCTCTGTGCCAGCTTTGCTGGGGGATCAATACCTTATTTTTTATATATATATATATATTTTTTATTATTATTTTATAGAGATGTGAGGGCTTGGATTGGCTTATTTTCTGATTTATAAGCATGTGGGAAAACTGAAGAAGGCAAGAACTTCAACACTGGATGGAGGATGGCACTGCCAGCTCTGTGTGGATCCCACAGGAGCCAGGGTTGGCAGGATGAGGAAAAAAATAATCTCCTTGTGGCAAAGGGTGATGTGTTGTGGAGGAAAGTAAATTCTCCTAGCTAATCACAGGCTGGGGATGTATCAGAGAGAGAACCCTCTGTTTGAATTATTTTTCTAGGAAGCTTAGCTGGAAATGCAAACACTTGTTCCACAGCAATATTAAACCCTCAATTCAAATGTAAAAAAAAAAAAAAAAAAGGTAGTTCATGTGGAAACATCGAGTTCAGACAGCTCAGATTTGGCTCCTCAGAGTTTGTAGTTGCTTTCTTGACCTTAATATGGCCATGCAGTGATCTGTAGGCCAATTCCAGAAGGAATTATTTAGTCTGGGCTGTGTCCTGCCTGTCTCCCCTTCCTCTGAAGAAAGAGGATGCTGTGGAAGTGACAGCCAGAAAATACATAGGCCAGAGCTGTCTTGCAACTAAAGAAAAATGACTGCTTTAGGAAAAAAATACAAGTGAAATCATGTCATAGCCAGGTTGGTAAACCTCAGCACAGGATTTATCATCTGGCCAGTGACAGAGGTAGAAATTGCAGTAAATTGGTTCATTGCACCTGGTGCAGAAGTCCAGAGAGGAATTAAAAACTAAAAAAGCCACCAGCGAGCTCATCACACTCCAGTACATCAAAAAAGGATGGGTTGGGCATGGCTTTAATGAAATCAGTTACAGGTTTGTGGTGTTGCCAGCAGGGCTGGCACAAGGCAAGTGCAGCACAAGCTGCTCCTCCCAGATGTGTTCAGCTGCTGAACTCTGTGTGATTGCACCCTTCCTTTAAATCCACTGTATCTCACCAATAAATCAGTGCTGGAGCTTGGTGAGAAGTGGGAACTGCAAAATCAACTGTGCTGTCAGCTCTGCTCCTGCTGGAAAATAAAACTTCCAGCACCTCATGTACATGAAAAAAATGTGGAATATGAATGTACACTTCTGCTGGGGGATTAAGTCCTGGAAAAAAAGAGGAACATTAAAGGATAGGCCAACTTTGTATTTATTTAAAAAGTGCATTATCAAGGAAGCCTGTTCTTAATAACCATCAAGGGATTCAGTCTTATGTCTGTTCTTTTAACAGGTTAAACCTTGCCACCTGAGAGACTCAGACACACAGTTCTTGTGAGACAACCAGAATTACTGAATTCAGGAGACTGAAGATGCTGCTGCTGCTGTGGGAGCAGCTGTTCCTGGTGTCATTTGTTGGCTGCCTTGCAGGTAACAATAATGTCTAATTTCTTTTTTAGAGCTGTGCCTGAGTTCCCAGATTCAAGGTTTCAGCTGCACTTGAGGAACAGAACCCAGAGGCTTTGAAATGCACAAGTTATGCAGAGCTTAGAAACCAAGCATGCAACAGATGTGTTAAATAATGCAAAATATTAAGAGTGAATGAAAAGAGCCTTTGCTACCAAGGGATGTGCTTTTTAAGCAAGCAGAAGATACTTGGATGCAATAAGGATGCTGTTGGTAGCAGTGCATGGTGGCTGTGCTGATTGAAGAGCTGCAATATGTGTTTGTCTTTACCTGGGCACTCCAGATTCTTGCTGTGGCTGATTGCTGCAGCTTTTCTCAAAACTCTGTTTTGGAGCAGGGTTTATTCCTGAGGAGCAGCCCTGGGTTGTTGCTGAGCTGCTGAATTGGTGCTGAGATTTTCTTTTCTTGCTGTGCCAGGCAACTCTCAGGGTTTGGGGCTGGTGCTGCTGCTGAGGTCTCATCTCTGCTGCCACATCAGCTCTGCAGGGTCATTTTTCTGTCCCTTATGGAGCTCAGTCCCTGCGCAGCAGCACAAGGTTCTCCGTGGTGAGCCCTCTGCTCAGCTTCTTCTGATGCCAGGGGTGTGAGGGCAGAGGAGCAGCTCCTGCCCTGTCCTTGGGCTGGGCTCTGGTGGATTCTGTGCCCCCCTGGCTGTGCCAGGCGTGCCAAGAGCTGGGCAGTGCCTGATCCCCCGGTGCATCCTCATCAGGAAGGTCAGCACAGCTCTGGGGAGCAGCTCCTGCACTTCATGTACCCTGAAAATGGAGAGGTTTGTCCCCCAGCTCTGCTGTGCATAGATCATTTTGCTTTCCAAGAACTCCAGGGGAAATGGGGGGAAATGCTGTGGCTGCCCTGGCCATCCCCTGGCTGGGATCTCTCCTGATCCTGTGCTGTGCCAGCCTCTCCTTCCATCCCTGTCCTGCCCTGAGCACTGCTTGTGTCCTGGCTGTGCTCAGCAGGGCTGGAGTCCTGGATTTACCTTCTCATGGAGGCTCAGAGGGCCAAGATTTGTTTTTGGCTTAGTCAAAAACTTCAAAGAAAGAATAGTGACATGGTTAAACCAGTGTCCATCCTCCCAGCCCTTCTCTGCACCTATTTCAGGTCGCTCCCTGCAGCTGGGTACTTGCCAAATGTCAGTTTAGTGGCTATGGGGAGTTGATTGGAGAATCAGGAAGAAACCAAGTAAAAAAGCTGCTTTTCCTATTTCCAAAAGGCAGCTGGCACACTTGGGAGCCTGGAGCACCCATCAGGGATGCACATCCCAGGTTTAATGTTGGGTTGCTGTCACTGAGGAGGTTGTGTGGAGTCAGCACCTGCAGAGACAAGAGTTGAGCCAGATGGAATTTGAGGAGCTGAGCATTTCCAGCTGCCTGACCCATCTCCCTCAAAACAGCAGAAGGGCTCAATCCTGACATAAAAATCTGTTCTTTGGGCATGTGTTCCATGCTAACATGACCTGTTTGCTTCAATTGCATGAATCTCTCCAGTGGACCTTTGGAGCAGCAGGCTGCTAAAATCCACTTGGGAATCCTGGAGCTGAATTGATTTCAAATCAGATTTTAGTAAGAACACACTGTAAATGTGGAAACAAGTTATCAAACACTTTGCAGAATGTTAATTTAGCCTCTTACTAAGACAGATAAGCAGGTATTCTGTCTGCCCATAGAGAATCATTCTTTTTTTGCTTTGCCTATAAGCAAAAAGATAGTTGTTGAAAGAGCTGTGTGCAGTTCAGCGTTGTGAAAGAACATCACAGCTGCAGAAAAGGAGATGATGCTGATCTTGGCTTATGAACCCTGACATTGTCTGTCTTTGCAGATCATGTATTTCAAGCTAAGCCCCTTATTGCAGTGTCCTATACTGAATTGCTTTTCCTTTATCTGTTGTGAATCTTCATAGTTCATCAAAGAGAATGTGAGAGGATGTAATGAAAAAAAAAGTGGCCCTTGGGTTTTTGTTTATTGAAGTATGATTATATCTGTATGACTTATGATCCCGGGGTTTTTTTGTCCACTTACCTTGAGGAGCAAAAAGGTGGTTACTGAGTGTTAAATACATACATATATATATATATATATATGTATATATATATATATATGTGGGGTTCCCAAATGTCTGCCTTGTTAGGAGAGGCATTTCAAAACACACACTTTAGCATTATTGTCCTTAAATTACTCTGAAGACCAACTTCAAAGATAAAAATGAGTAAAATATGCAGAACAATATCAGCAGTGAAAGTGCCAAACTAAGCAGTGGTGAAGTCATGAATTAATTCCAGGTGTAACTTCTTGCAACTTTTGATTCTTGTAGGGCCTTCACCCCCCCAGAGTGTGCTGATTGCACTTGGTCCTTTGGGGAACTGGGGTAGAATTCCTGTTTGGAAGTGTGAGGAGCAGTTTGGTGAGCAGTGTCATGAATTTGTGATCCGCTATCACACGAGTGTGTAAAAACTTCCCTGCAGTTTGTGAGGCAACTGCATTTTCTGATGGGTTTTGTGAATTTTGTTTGGTTTTTTTTCAAATTGTGATGAATTTTGGGTTGGTTTTCGTGCTCCTGGAGAGGAGGGGAAGGCAGGGAGGGCAGTGCTGGGGCTGCAGAGCACAGGCACTGCTTTCCTCACTCCTCACTCTGCTCTGCTGTTCTCCCCTGCCCAAACCAGCTGCTCCCTCCTCCCCAGAAAAGGATGTTCTTAAAGCTCCTCCTGAGATTTAACAGGAAAAACAACTTCTGAAGGGTGGTTGAAGGGGAAGGAAAGCTGTGAATAAAGAGGGAGTTCAAAGAAATGGAACAAGGAGGACTCTGTGTGTAAATGCATACAATTTTTCTCCTTCAGGAGATGAAGGGGCACGTTTCAACCATGGTAGCCAGGGTGAGACCTAGAGACTCCACTTGGATTAACTTTAGTCTCCTGAAATTCTGACTCCTTGCCATCACAGTGTACCCTAACACTGGCCTTGCTGCACTTTATTTAAATAGAGAAAAACAAAAATAATTATATTTTTTCTTCCAGCCATTGCAAGCCTCGGCAGAAAAACAAACAAACAAAACCACAAATCCACAAAAAAAAACCCAGCCAATGCACTCCTGTCATATATAGAAATTATTTGGACATTGAAGCCTGATTTCTGTTGTGTCACTTTATACTAAAATTTGCCAATAGGCAGGTTTTACTTTTAATTCCTTATTCAGCAGTCCATTTGAGTTTAAAACCAGATCATATTCTTTATATTTCTTTATGTCAATTCAGGTGTTTTTATTGCTTTCATTTTCATTTTCTCATTTCATTTTCTCAGGCTAATACAGAAATAAACTGCTAAGCCCTCAGGCACAGCAATGTCATGTATTGGATCCCACTTCTCTTCTTGAGTATCAAGTTTAGGAGACTTATGAAATTGGAAAGCATGATTCCTTCTTTATTTTCCAAAGAGCATGAAAACAAACCTTCTGTGTTCTTACTGCTCTGATGTTGTAATTAAATCATGCCACAAGCAGAGCAGAAATATCCACTTCAGATTTAGTCTTTGCTGGGAAGTTTCTTTATGGGTAAAAGCCCGTTTGTAAGAAAAAAAAAATTAAATAGTATCATTTACTACTCTTGTTCAAATTCAGTTTTCATTAAGAGTTACAGCCTTCAGACAGAGCCAGCCTGGTTTTTGATGCATAATGCTTTTGCATATTAATAACAATCTCCTTTTTGTGCATTTTGCACATCCAGCCATCATGTTCAAGTGGAGCTATGCCAGTAGTGACTGTCAAAATTGTTTAGCTGGGATGGCTTGTGCAGCACTACCAGCATTCAGGGCACTGCCAGAAAGTTTGGGTTCAGTTAGTTACAAAATGAGGAGCCAGTCTTGAGAGTTGTGCTTTTTGCTAGAGTGTTTGGGGAGCAAAAAGGTGATTTAGTGAGCAATAAAAAAAAATATATATATTAAAAATTATAATATTTTATATATAAATACTAAAAATTATATATAAATAAATATTTTATATCTATAAATATATTTTATACATAAATATATTTTACATATAAATATTTGTACTTATAAATATATTTAACATATAAATATATTTTATATAAAAATATATTTGCACATATAAATAGATTTTATATATAAATATATTTTTATATTTCATAAATATTTGTATATATAAAATACATATATTTAAAATTTCTACTTTGTTCAAGATTTCAAAACACACACTTTCCCATTATTATCTTTAAATTACTCCGAAGAGCAACTTCAAAGATAAAAATGAGTGAAATATGCAGAACAAGACAAACAGTGAAAGTGCCATGGTGAAGTCATGAATTAATTCTGGGTGTAACTTCTTGCAGGTTTTGATTCCTGTAGGGCCTTCACCCCTTGCTGTGGCCCAGGGTAAAGCTCACCTTCCTCTGCAGCTCCTTTATTTAATCCATTCATTTAATCCATTCACCTGCAATCAGGTGAGGGGAAAAGAGCATCTCCTTCATGACCATCTGGGTTTTTTGGTCAGCTAAATATTAACTTGGAGCTGGATATAAATTGAAATCCAAAGCCCATGGAAGCACCTTTGTTGACATCCCAGCCTTTCTCCAAGTTCATGGATTTCCAGGAGTCTGGGTTTCCATGGTGGGCATGCACTTACCAGTCACAATATTGAATTCCATAACTGCAGAAGATGCTGTTCCATTCAAATTATTTTTGAAGAGAGACCTTTAACAGCTTTTGGAGAGTCTCCTTGGTCTCTGCTTTCTCTTTTGAGCTGAAGCGTGGGAATCCAGGAGTTCCCTCTGGCTGCCCTGGGACCCTGGCAGGGGTCAGGAACCCCCTGGACAGAGCCCCCAGAGACACTGGCTGTGATCTCTGGCCATGGAAAAGAGTTTTCAATCTTACAGGATCAATTACCAGCCCTGAATGTTTGATAGAAGTAATAATTAAGTGTGACACGGGTGCAAAAGTAAAATTTTAGGATTCTAGATG